AATCACATGGGATGTTTTAACAGTATAGTTTAAGACTTTAGGTTTCCGCCACCATTCTTTAGGGACTTTGATAGTTTTCGTCCCTACAATCTGCTTTTACAAATTTACCCCTACATTTCTTGAATCCCACCGCTTTTTTTTTTTTGTTCTAGATCCCTTCACCGCCATTCTTCCGATCTAACCCATCTCGCTGTTCACTCTATACACTGCACCTTCTCTCCACCGTTTCTCGACCTTGCTGGTCCGGCGAAGCAACTACTGACAACGGTTGATTCACTGTCTTCACAAAATCGACCAGAAAATCGATCCCAAAGTTCCTCTTCACAAAACCGACCAGAAAATCGATCCCAAAGTTCCTCAGTACGTGTTTCCCTGTGTTTCATCCATCATTCCGTCATCTTTCTCCTCCTCTCGATTTTATTTGTTGCCACTTTCAGATCGAAGCGAGCGTCGGAAGAAGACCGACTCAAAGAAACCCACTTCAATCGCGATTTCCCTCACTGACGCCTTTGCTTGCACCCGCCACTTCAATCGCCGAATTCCAGGTCTGTGTCACTTAATCGGATTAACTTATGCTCGCTGATTGAACCCTGAGATTTTAAAGGTTTCAAAGATTTTTCCCTATTTTTTTATTTGTTTCATTCACAGGTTTCAAAGATTTTGAAGGGGCTTGACAGCCGACTTCCATCGGTAAGTGCTTCTTCCCTATCTTCTATTCCACACTTCTCTATCGATTTACCAAAGGTCGATCATCAATTTTGGACTTTCATTATCTGCCCTATAATTTGTTTTCTGTTTTTTAATGATTTAGTTTTGGAAGAAGCCTTTTTTTTGGAATTCTGACTTATTGAGTTGTGGCTAGGTTTACTGGGTGGGTTTCATTTTTTGTTATTTAGGTAACGATTTCTGTAAAAGTTTGTTATGGAGGGTTACATATTCTTACAATTATCAATTTTTGGTTCTAGATTTTGAAACTGAAATTCCACGACTTATGCAGAGGGCATAAGGTATGTAGTGAAAATGTTATATATTTGCATTTTTGCTTGATTTTTTGTCATCATGTACAAACAATTTGTATGTTAGAATTCTTGCCGTTAGAATTGTTTATAGCTTTTTTCCTTTTCCTAATTCATCCAGGAATGAAGACCTTCCTGGAGATTTAAACTCTGTATGAAGCTTTTATGAAAACTTATTTTTGTACTTTTTTATTAATGCAAAGAATCTTATATTAATTAATTTTTCTTCAAAGCCCATGTTATATGGTTGTTACATTGATGCCTAACTTCATTTGCAAACAACTTCACATGTACGACGCGAAGGTGACCTACTGTTGAGGGTTAGAGTGTATAGGTGGAGTGGTGGTTGATGAGGAGTGACAGGGTGACAAAGATGCTCCAGTTTATAGGATTTTACCAGGTTCAGGGATTATAGACCTCACTTAGAAGGTAAAGTTACTCTTTTTGTGTATTTTTTTTGGATGGGGTGTTTGTTCTTTCGTTTCTAATGTTTTTGGTCCTTGATGTTGCAGGAAAAACAAGTGATAAGAACCATTCAGAATGTGATAGGGATAATTAAAGGAGTGGAGGAACCTAATAGGTAAACTCTAATAGTTATTTACTTTAACTACTTCACTGCATAAAGTGTGTTAATTCATAATATGATGTCCAAATAAGAAAACAAAATCCAAAGTAGAAAGAAACCAAAGTGATAAGTTTAACTGTGCGTAAAGCTTGTCATTAGATTTGCAATGAGTAATCATCGAGATGCTTGGACATTTGGGCCAATTGATCCCAACAGTCGCACTGTTGTTCTACTCGAGGTAAATAATTATTATATGACTACAGATGTCATATGATATTATTATAATAATATATGGTAAACAGGACGTGGCATATTGATACAAGTCGCACAAAGGTTCCAAAAGCTATAGAAAGAAGGTTCCAGAGGCAATCTTGGGTATTCCAGCCTTTTTCAGTGATAAAGGGTAATTTTGGAATACAAGATTCATTGACGGATTCCATTCTGGATTCCAAACGGAAAATTACTTCAGTCTACCAAATACGGTACATTAAACAAATACCCGTTAACTATTTCTTTTAAACCTTCAGGCTTATGATAAAATTTATATCTTTTTACTTCATTAGATAGAAAACCAGATTGAGTCTGCTATTTTCATATTCACTTCATGGAACACCTGTAGATCTAAAGGTGTCACCTTTCATCTTCTATCATAATCTTTATGTTATTCCACTATGAAAAAAAATTTCTTTCGGCCTTAATTTTATATATATATTTCACAGGACAAATGGCGAAATCTTAGTTAAATAAGAATGACCTTTTTTTTTTACACTTTCTTCTTCTGGATTTTGTTACTTCTCAGGCAACTTCAAGTGGAACAAGCTGATGGTATGCTTGCATGCTTCCGGGGAACAGTGGAGATAGTTAGCATGCTTACTGGGGGCAGAGGGGTAGTCGTGTTACGTTCAGGTAATATTTTTCTTCAATATATACAAAAACCAAAATGTTATTATATAATCAGATTGTAATTATACAATTATTTAGCATTCAAATAACCAATTTTGGATGATAAATTTCACACAAGCTACAACACAAATGATAAATTTTCACCCATCATTTTAGCATTAATAATCATATTATATTTATAATTGATAGAAAATAAATTTTAATATTAATACTCCAACAATATATGAAAATATTTTTTTTGGTTATTTTATTTTTTCTTTGTTTATAATCAAACTTTGTGAAACAGTGAAACAAGTAATTATCTGATTATTACAAGTTCAACCAGTGGAAGCACATCGAAACACTATCTCCTGCAATAAATAAATGTTTATTATGATTATTTAATATCGAACCAAAACCACCACTATCTTAACATGTTATTGGGTTGTGACGAGAAGATGATCCGGGTATGAAATGTTGTTATATGGTAATTGACTTTCTATTGCATGAGTTGTTTCTTATTAAGGTATTGTACTTTAAAACATTTTTGTAAAAGTTGACAAAAATGAAACGTCCTTAAAACGTTTTTGTAAAATTTGATAAGAATGAAACATTATTGTATTGTGGCTTGAATCATACAGATTTTGATGCTTGGTCGAGAAAACGAGGGTATCCCCGTGTATGTGTTGCCTATGAAGGTCGACCCTTGTTTCTGATAAAAAATTGCAAGTACAAGCCTATGATTATCTATATTTTGAGCCTATTTAGATTAAAAAAGTTTGGAGGCCTTTTTCTTCGGCTTAGAGATCTGTGTAATGCTTAAATGATGCTCTTATGTTCTTCGGCATAAAAAAGAGCTTTGTAGATTCATTTCAAAAAGCTTTTATAGCAACATAACTGTTCGGTCTAAATTAACAGTAATGCCCTTTATTTTTTTCTAAGAAGAATGACCCGTGCAACGCGCACGGGCCTTTTCCTAGTTATTATTATATTTTGGACAAATATCTTAGAAGTTTATAGGTCTTAGCTAGTTGGGTGGTCAATTGGGAACTAGCGTCTAGTTCAACGTCTAGGCTGATTTTTACAAGGTTATATATGGGTCAACATTGTTTGGTACAATTTTTGGATATAACCCAAATCAAACCAAAAATTCCAGTTTTTGATTTTGGAAAACTGAAACCCTGTTTCTTTCTCCTATTTGTTAGTTTTATTTATTTATTTATTTTTTAATTCTTGAACCATGTTGCTAATTTTTTTTCTTTAACAAAAACAAGTAATTTATTTAAAAAATAATAACATACAACAAAAAACATTTTTTATTATTTTAATTTTCAAAACTAACCGTAAATGAATTGTAGTGATTTTAATATTTAACATACTTAATCCAATTAAACATATACATAACATGATACCATTTTGGCTATTTCAGTTTGGTTTTTAGGTTTCTACATATAAAAACGCCAAACATAACAAAAAAAATCGGTTTCATTTTGGTACTTGGACTTTGTATGTTCATATATTTTGAATGTAGCCATTTCATGTATAAATTCTAAGTGTAACGTTCTTAAAATAAGCCCATTTTTTTGTTTTGAATGATAGAAGGGGAGCTGACGTACGTGGATATTTCTTATGGTCATTAATGGATAGTTTTGAATGGATGCAAGGTTACAATTTGAGGTTTGGGTTGTATTATGTGGATCGTCAAACGCTAACACGAATACCAAAACTTTCTACAAGATGGTATAAAAATTTCTTAACAAACAATAGTGACCTTATCGATATGGAAGCATCAAGATACAAAATATCAGTTCAAAAAGATGTCATGATTGTATCAAAAGCAAATACATAAAAATAATTTGAGAAACTTGTATGTAACTATTCCAACAATGTATTATTGGTGCATTGTCCAATGACTAAGCAATAAGTATAAAAAATGTACTTAAAACTAATTGTAACCTTCTTATCACTTGCTTGATGTATTATTGTAAAAGAAAAAAGGAATTTAAATGGGATCATTACTATTACATAGTTATATTTGGTTAGACAAATGTGTCATGTCGGGTTTGTGTTGAGTTGGAACATTAAATGGATTGAGAGTGTGTGATCCTAACCTGAATCGTTTAATTATTGTGTTGTGTCATGTCAACTTGTTTATTTTTTTGTCAGATTTATGTCAGGGTTAGAGTTTAGATCTTGTAAATGCATTCAGGTTGAAACATCTTACATATTGAAAGAGAATGCGTTAGGTAGGTGAAAAAAAAAACTAAAAAGAATAGGAGTAGGGAGATGGAATGACGAAATGATGAAATCATAGTAAATTTATAGGACAAAGTGGAAAGAGTTGGACATTGAGAGGTAAAGGTCACGAGGATTGAGGACGGAATGGCCGAATAGGAGTGTGGAGTATGGGAGAGAAAGAAAAACTTGAAAATAAAGTCTTAACCTAGGCTAAGTCGTTTTCACATCACAAAGCGACTCAACCAAAAGTTTTCTCTTGTATATTTGGTTTTGGTTTTGGGTATATACAATTTATCTAAACAATTAAAAATATTGTATTTAAACAAATGAGTCATTTTCGAGTTAAAATCTTTACCCAAGCCTAACCCATTCAAACTTTCGATTGTGTTGTTTACACGAGTTGGAATCCCATACCTAAATCCAATTACTTCATATCGAATTTGTGTTGGGTTAACGTGTAGTGTCAGTTTTTGTCATCTTTGTTTGATAGACCGTAAATGATATATGAATAGAATCAAATTAGTTGATACTAGATAGTACTAACAATACTTTGTGTGCATATTAGATAATGAATTTTAATTTCTATAAATAAAAACTAAATATAATAAAAAATCATCAAAATCAAATAATATTCTTCTTTAATCTTGTTTTGTAACCGTCATCGTTACTTTTATTGTTAAAGGTTTCGAGGTTGCAACAAGAGAGCCACATGATTAGACTTAACAATGAAGCGGGTTTTGACCCTGATCCACTCCCGTAG